ATAGAAGGACTTATGATACTTCCAATTCACAAGCCTCCTTTTTTCAGATTTAAGTCTAGATGTCCCAGCTGACATCCAGGGATGCGTCAGGTCTGGGCATTCCCTGGAGGTCTTATTTCATAGCACAGCCATGCAATAGCTTTCATTTTCCATTTTCTGTAATACAAGGGAGCTAAAATCAAATGTTAGTTCAGGTTTTTGTTAGTTCTGGCCTTGAATCATCATGCTCTGATTACGGCCATTTACAAGTTGCTAAATTTGACCAGGACTGAGAAAAATTTATATTCACAGCATTTTTGAAGAAAGTCTTATATTAGGGGCTTCATAGAACATTCTTCCTCATCAGTCCCACTCTAGCCGGCAAACGTCTTTTCTGACAAATTTTAATATAAAAAATTACCTGTGATTAGACTAACAGAACCAAAATGTAGGCTAAACTAGCCAAAGTTGAGCTGGAATCCAAAAATTGAACCAAGTAGAAGAAAAGTATTATAAAAGCAAAAAATTTTACTGAAAACTGTGATTCAGGGTTTCAGATTGAATTTCCATACATTTTTCTCCAGATTTAGCATTTAGACAAAAGAAAAGAAAGAAATCACAAGGTGATTTTGTTATTCTACCTCTGAAGACCAAGTACCCTCTCCCTCAGATGATTCCTGTATTCAGTAGACTTTTAAGAGCTACTGTGTTCTTTATTCATAGCTAGGATACATTTCAAGTGTTGTGGATTCCCACTGATCTTCCTGACAATAAGAGCTGCTGAGAGGTTTTTATTTCTTCCAACTATTGCAGAAGCATCTCCCACTGACTCTCTTATGGCCATTCTGCATTTCATTGCAGGGCGGAGATTGTGTGCTGGTGAGAATCTCGCCAAAATGGAGCTCTTCCTCTTCTTCACCAGTCTCCTGCAGAGGTTCACCTTCCACCCTCCGCCTGGAGTTTCCATCTCAGACCTGGACCTCAGCCCTGCTGTTTCATTTAATGTCATCCCCAAACCCTATAAAATGTGTGCTGTAACACGTTCCTAGAGCTCTAACCAGCATCAACTTGCTTCAAAAACATTTCAATTATTTTTCCATGACATCTGCCTTCTTAATTTTTTGGCCAAAATAATTCCATACTTTACAACCTTATGAGGATTTCCAGTACTTCTAAAATAAATGTTTTATTTTTTATTTGTTGGGGGAGGTCAGAAATGGACCAGAAGTGTGGCCTGATAGATGACTTACAGAATAATTTACTAGATCACCTAATCTGCGCTAAATAATGCAGACTCCAGCTTTCACATTTTTACTTCAGTTTTCACTTGGCAATGTGTTTGTTGAAAGCACATCCCCCAGAAATGCACCTGAGTCCAAGTTTCTCTAAGGAGACACGTGGGACACAAATCTGTGTTTAGCTTGTACTATCCTGCCTAAAGATAAGCACTGTCAAGCCTCTGTGGTGAATGAGGGATGTTTAGAGCTTCAGATCTTCGGAACAGGACTGTTTGGACTTGGCAGATGGGTTTGAAGCTGCGTTGGATATACCAATGCCTCCCATTACCAACTGAAGCTTCTCTTCTTGGCTCTTCTCCCAGTCCTTTCCCTATTCAGAAGCATTCTATCCCTGTCTCTCCACAGACAGTAGTCAGTGGTGACCTTCCATGGTATGCCTTAAGGCTCAGCTTGTCTTAGGTTGGCTATTTTACTTGGCACTAAACAGACAATATTTCCTGTCCTGCAGTTTCTCCTGAGAGCCAGTGTTGAAGCAAGACACCCATTCCTTCTACTCATTTCAGACACTGAACGTTCCCTTTCATTTGCCCTCATTCCCATGTTCTGGGGGGATGTGATGGTGGTGTCTGTTCATATCAACACTTTCCACATGCCTTCATCTCCTTACCCAAACAAGATTCTGATCATTCAGCTGTAAATAATTAAATACTATTAAGAAATTCAATCTACTTTAAAGTTGATATACAGAGTACAATTCAATTGCTTTAATCCCAAGGCTCTAGCACCATCTTAGATACCCTCAGATCTTTTGTTTGGCTTTCAGCTGCCAGGCTGAGGGGACAGGTCGTATGCCATATAAGCCCCGTGTTCAGGTCTCAGATACTGCAGATACTTCAAACATCTACAAGCTTTCAAATGCTAGATAGAGACTAATGATTAAAGACTCAAAAGTGAAAATAAGAATACAAAAATTACATCAGTCATTGCAACATTTTTATTTTCACGGCCAAATTTGTCTTTTTCTTGAATTCCTCTACTCTAATTTTTACAATGAGTAGTAAACTTCTCATCTAGATCTGTTTATTTTAGTTTCTGGATTAAAAAAAGGTGATAGATGGAAGGGAAGATTACCCTAAGGTTTGGGTTTTTTTTTAATTAGCTTTACCAGGAATAAAAATATTTTCTTCATTCTCTGCTCCTGAATTTTAAATGTTAAAAACATTTATGAAAGTAGATGAGGTTCCAGTGAAGGGAAGATTTGAAAGAGGGAATCGCTGTAGAAAAGTTACTAGAGGTTGGTGATCATATTTCATTTCCTGAAGTTGTTCTTTCTCATATCAAAGTACACAGAGCATATCAGATGTTTGCATTTCGTGCTCCTATTAACCTTAAACAAAACACATTTATCTCAGTAAATAAAGCATGCACCCATGGCAAATAGATGGTGATTTTTAATGAAGTTTCTGACTTGCTATTAAACACTGCATAAACACTGTCTGCAAATTTCAGCTGTCAAAGGGCTTCCACTGCCTGGCAACAGTAAAAGGAAGTTAAAACTGACTGAGAGCCACAATAGCCCTAGGCTGATGCTGCTTCAAGCCTGTGTATCTGCTGTGTCTGCATAGGCAGCAGGGGAGTTGAGTGGTTCTCTTGGTTCAGACCCAGCATCCTGAGGATGCCATTCAGATACATCAGGGCTCATTCGCTGAGTACTGGTGCAATGAACATCATTGTCTACTGTGCGATCACTATGGGGTGCATAGGGGACCCTTCCCTCACCGAGTATGATGATGATCACCTCATTTGTGTTTATTGCTTGTCCTGATTCTTCTACTGACTATGAAAAATAGGAAGTTTCTGGAATAGACATTGCAGAGAGAATTTTCCTCAAAGTCTTTACACATCATTAGAAATTTGCTCAACACAGACAGGAAGCGTCCCCCAAAGATATTGCTTGTGTAAACCTTATTTTTTTCTTACTCTCCCACCACACAGTCAATGAGCATTTGTGATGCTTCTCTTTCCATCTAAACCCAGGCCAAGATGACACGTATTAAACCAAACTCCACCTAAAAGTGCAAGAGAAGAACTTCAAATACTACGTAAATTCATTCTCTTTACTGTAGTTGCCCTTTTATCAAGTTTTCTTGAATCTTATGCTCCATTTTCTCACAATTATCAAGAGAAAAATTGCATCTGTGCCACAGCACATCAGCATACATGCAACTGTAGCTAAAGGTGACATTGATATGTGTTTGAACACACAGCTACTTTTACCTACTTTTACTTAAGGACAGTCCTTACACCTCAAGTACTTTAGATTGAAAACAAATAATCCATACTTTCTTTTTAAGAAGAAAAGAAGGTATCTATGCAGTTCATGAAGTTCCAAACCCACACAGTAAATTGTTTGCAAGTAAGTCACCCTTCATGAAAGCAAAGGAGTATATCTTTGCTGAACAAAAATTAAGACAGCTGGCATGCACGAAAATCCTTAACCCATAATCTGGGTTAAGTTACAGTGAGTAGTAGTTACGTCAGTAAATGTTCCCCTTGTCCTTGACCAAAAATTTATTCAACATTTCTAAATATTTATACTTTTTTTTATGTGATACAAAGCAAGTATAAACCAAACAAGTACTTAGTCTGTCTTTCTCGATCCTACATGTAGCAACTACAGAGAGGCTTTTAATTTCTCATACTGGAACAGAAGTAATTAGCTCATGTCTCATTAGGAGTACCAGCAGCTTGCAAACAAAAGAACAAGTGTTTCAGGGGTAAGTCGACATCAAGAGCACTGCTGTCTTCTAGCAGATAATTTGACTGGAGAAGGCACTTAATCTTTTAAGGCAGAAGCTCTATCATGGAAAAAATAGGGGAGAGATTAAAGTGCATGGGGAAAGAGACTTTTGAATTTATTTTCTTCCTCTGAAGCTGAAGAATATCTGACAGTTAATAAAGTATAAGGTGAGCACACGACTCTGAGATTACAGCTTTGCTCTATAATGTTCTTACCTGCTTTTCCAACCATCTGCATTAAGACATATATACACATACATGGAAAAAAAACAACAAAAAAACAACCCAACAAACAGAAAAAAAAAAGATACCACCCACCTGGTTTAAGCAATGAATATGAAAATGTAAAAAAATCCTGTATATTTGATATTCAATTATTCAATTCCCTACCATGGAGTTTAATATTTAAAAGTGGTAAGGAAATTGAACTGAAGATTTGCAACCGAGCATCAGATAACCATATTTTAAATCTGCATTTCAAGTTTAAAGTGGATTTAACTCCAAATCAAAGGTTAATTTGGCAAGAGATACTACCTGCACTATTCTATAGATGTGATATAAGTGTCCAAATATTATGTTACTTATTCTATAAAAATGCCCAAACCCAGTATCTACTTCCCTCACTTCTCCTAAGACAGTATATATCATCATTAGAAGTCATCACAGGTCCAAAAAACAAAACCCAACCCCTAACCTTGGTCAATCACTTAAATCACTAGAGTCCCAGAATGCCTGTACATATTTGTATACCAATATTCGTAGAAAGAGAAACGCAGCAGTCACAAGTATAAAGCCACTAGGAAGAAAATAATATTTCCATGATCAGCATCCTGCAGTTCTACAGTAACACAGAGTGCTGGCCCAGATTATCTTCTTCAAAAGGAGGCTCCATATAGAAACACACCAGATAATTCTTTTTTTTCCATTTCATATGGAAATATACATACATAGATAGATATATATATATATGTATATTTTAGTCTTTCAGAGGAAGTCCACCTTCTCGTAGGTCTTTTCAATGAGGGTTAGTAAGTTCTTCAAGTCAGCTGACTGCTGAATAGCATTCATATCCTTTAAAAGACCTTTCTGATCTTTCATCTTTAAAATTTCTTCCTAAGGAAAGAAAAATAAAGATGACAACAAATAAACAACAGCTTTCATCAAGTCCAATAGAAACTTCACTTTCATGCAGCCTAGCTGTACCTGAATACAGCTAAAATAAAAAAGATTCAAAGACACAGAATGAGACAGTCTTCTATCAGTTACAGAGAGAAATTTCAGAAACAATTACAGGTTCCCTTGGACCACAGGGTTCCTAGGCAAAGATGTGATCCTTTAAATGGCAGGGGTTCTGCTCTGTTTTTTAAAAAGTAATCATATGGATCTATATGAAAAAAGAAAGAAAAAGGAAAAAAACCCATATATTTCAGAATTTTCAGAACTGCCCCCTCTGGCAAAGGTTAAGTGACAAAAGCACACTCTGTTGCCTTTCTTCTCACAGCCAAGGTGTCTCTGAAAATATATTCCATGCTCACCTGCAAAGTGGGTGCTTGTAAACTGCGCTTGGGGAGTTCTGGAAGATTGAGTGCTCCAATACCACTTTCTTGGAATACCTAAAAAGGGAAAAAGAGGGAAAAAAAAAAAAAACCAAAACCAAACCTCAGGCATACAAGTAGGAAAATAAACTGGCTGTCATTATCCAACTTCTGAAAACTCAACTTTCAGCAGCACTGTCCTGCTTTCAGCTTAAACCACAGCAAACATCTATTGGGAATACCTTCTTGGCCTTTTTTTCATCTTTCTCTAACTGGTTCTTGAGCACCTGGATTTTGTACTGCAGTTGCTGTATATTTTCTTCAATATAGTCTGCTGATCGCTTAGCTTCATTTATTTCTTCCTAAGACAAAACAGACACAAAACCAGAACAAAATTTACCTTAGAGATGGTAAGCCGTTTGTGCATGAGGCACTGATAATTGGCATCAGCCTAATCACAAAAAAAACATCCAAAAAAGATACACTGCTTCGTAGTGAAAGTGATAATGATGAACAGGAGACAACAACTCTCAACACCACAGGCACAGCCAGCAGTTCAGCTACTAAAAAGCTACAACACAGTGAGATGTTTTCTTCCCTTCCTTGCTTTTCATACCTGCAATTGTACCAATGACTCTTCGTTTGTCATAAGCATTTGTTTCTCTGCCATCTGAAGGCTCGAGATATTCTTCAGGTTGCCCAGCTTCCTTGGAGGCACCTTTAAAGTCTTGAAACATCTCAGCACTCTTTATTATAGAGAAAGGAAAGCATGACTCGTTTGGAATTCTTTGCAAAACAAGATGAATATGACTAATGTCTTCTCTGGGAAAAACTAAACTCGGTTAAGCCCAGTTGCTGCTAGTGAAGTGAAAGGATCCAAACAGGAAAAAAAAAGCTATCTTAAATTGTTTTCCAAAATCATGTGGAATAGATGTCTAAGGAAGAAACCACAAACAAGAAATCTGACCACTCTAACCTTTTCTATCACATTGACATTGTGTGGTTTCTATCCCAATGGCCTGTACACTCCCTGACTGCAAACTGACATTAACTAATATTTTCCCAGTTTTAACCTTCCTGCTTGCAAAGTAAAAGTAAGTTCTAGAAGTAGCATTTTTTACTGATTCCAAAAAAGAACATTTTAGTAAAATCTGTAAGTGCTTTTGTGAAACACTGTATCGTTTTGCACCAGAGGAAGAGTTTCAGCTTGCTCTTAAAGGTCCTTCCAGTTCTGAAGAAGACTTGGAGTCCACTAGATACACCAAACTGCCATGCATCTCAGATGAGACTGCAGAAGTTTGGAAACTCAGAAATTAAACACTATAAATTAAACATTACAAAAAAAAAACAAAACCCAAAACCAACAAACAAATCAAAACAATAAATTATGAAAAACTCCTCGTGTTTGAATCTTGAGGCACTGCAAGAGCAAAGAAAGCAACATTTAGGATCAGGCCCTGTAAGAGCCTGGAGTACCTACACACACAGAGACAAAAATTCTCAAAGTGTGCATAATTACTCCCATAATGGCATAAAAAAGCCTACAAGTTACGCTCCAAAATTTCAATTATCTTTGAAGTAACTTCAACAGCCAGAAAACAAATTAGCATTTAAGATAGTTTAGCTGTAACTACTCCCGCCACTATCATAAACTGATAACAAAATAAATAGCTGCCTGAAAAGTTAAACCCTGTATAAAGAGTACAAAGCTGATTCAAGGAGCTCTTAAGAGTACTTCCTTGGTTCTGTTACTCATATAGAAGTAGTTAAAATGGGTCTTTCAACAACATTTGCTTGTCTGCTTCAACCAACGTACTGTTATTTCCCTAATTGATTTTGCATCAACTCCCCCTTCCAAGATTTCCTAAATGTCATTGCTCCCAAGGCCAATTCTGTAAACATGGTACAAAACAACTGGGTAAACTAAATCCCTTCTCTCCCTCTTTATATTTTAATTATAATTTCTTACCTTTCTTTCACTAAATTGAGGTGCTCCTGAACATCACCTTTTCTCTCCTTTTGTTGGCACAAAACAGATCTGGAAAGAAAATAAAGGCAGAATTTTCATTGCAAAGCCTGCAAGCACAGGGAGTACATCAGATTAGGTGAATGTAAAACTTCTCTAGCTAAAAATTTCTAAATTCAGATATAAAATGTTATATTATACCAGACAAAATATACATAGCCAGCCATATTGCCCAAAAATGCAAAGCTTTTCCAGTTCAAGCAACGTTATGATTTTTACTTTATTTCAAACACCAGGATATCTGTCACTTACAGTATTATTGAATCCATTACAGTTTCCAGAAACTGCCTACTGCTCTCTGAGAGAGTCTTCCAAGATGCTGTTTTTGCACTGGTTAGCTTCACTTTTTTTGAAGAACCTTTTTCTCCTGTTAATACAAAGAAAAAAAAGGGAAATATATGATTTGTCAAACCTGGATAGATAGCTTTGTGACTCCATTCAACTCAGATCGTAGTCAAAGATGTAACAGTTAAGATTTTTCCATGTCACAAATCTATCAGGTCAAATCTATCCACATTAGGTGGTATTCATTATTTGCAAGTCACAAGTTGTTTAAAAAGCACAAACCAAAAAAGGGTCTTTATTACAGTAGTTTCATTCTAAACAGACATTTCCAAAAATCATTGGCAATACAAGCAAGAAAACTCAGAATGAAATAAACCAGAGTGGGAACATACATAGGTGATAAACTCGGTGCAGGGGCCTCATCTCATTTGTACAACAGCATGCCCAACGGAACATACTATTTGGATGAGACAAACATAAGTAAAGAATACAATCGTACCTGCAGGGGAATAGTCACTGTCTTCTTTAGCTTTCCTTTTGACTGCCTGAGTATCCGGCTGAAGAAAAAAGCTTCCAGCAAATGCAGTAATTTTGAAACATTTTCTACTGTGCAACTAATCATCTAGTACTAGCGATCCACTGTAAAAAGGCTGTGAAAGCATGTCAGTGCTTGACAGAGGTCTACTGGCGCTCACCACAAAAAAGGCTTTTTGAACTGCAAAACAGTAACACATCTCAAGCAGGTGGAGGAAACCAATTCCTCCTAATTCCTCCCCTTCCATGAATGAGGTCATGAAGTAAGAAATGCACAAGACTTTTAGCTATCTAGCCACATCTGGAGTTCATGCTGTTCATAAGTTCAGGGGTTAAGCAAACTCTCTCCAACAGAAAGCTGCCTGTGTCAATCCTGAGACATGCAGGGAATGTTTTCCAGAACTGAACAAACAAAGCTGAATGAAGTCAGAGTTCATCACTCTGTTCAAACAGATGCTATGCAGCTCTTCAGAACTGTGCAGCCAGCTTGCCTTTTTATTAATGCAATAATAGAGGGCAATGCTTCCCTCTACTTGTCACAGGCACAGTAGCACACGACTAGTAATCCTGGAAACCAGGAAGCAGTTAAGGTAGTGGGTGTCGAAAGTCCTGTTCACACTGGACATTTCCTCAGAAGGACTGCATTTAATTAATGAAACATTCTCTAAAAATTCCAGTTAAAAAATAGGCAAAAATGCCTCTTTCGCCTGCACCTTCTTTGGTTACTGATCTAATCTGATACAAAATAACAATTACCTTTCTTTTTTGACCTTGTTTTCTTCCTTCTGTATCTGCTCCCTTTTTCTTGCTGGAAGGCCCTTCTTGATTTTCTGATTTAAGTAGGTTTTTTGCTGATCTCCCACCAGCAGTCTTCCCCATTTTACTGCCAGATACATGACATTTCATTATCCATAAACCAAATGAAACAGGATGAAACAAAACCAAAGTTAAAACCCAGCAATTACAGTCAGTACAGTACAACCCACACATTAACAAGTAAAACAAGACGGAAACACCCAGTGCTAAATGAGCCCAAACATTTGCATATTTACCAAGCTTAAGCCCTTTAAATCTTTCATATTTATCGAAGTGCGGGACCACTATAGAAGCATCTCTATTTGCCTTTTAGATGAGTCTTTGTCAGTTTCACACCTCTTTCTAAACCGAACAGTCTAATTTGTTCTTTAAAGCCTCCAGCAATAGAAATTCTTTCCCTTTGTAATGCAGTTCAGTGCAGTCACCTTATTACGAGAACTTTTTACCCTAGCACCTAACTATAATGTTCTTTGCTGAAGTTTAAACAGTTTCTTTTCTTACTCACTATAGAGATGGAGGAAAAAGGAGCCACACAGGAGAGAATAACTGTCACACTACATTAGCTTTCTCTTTTCTAAGTACAACAACTCAGATGTATTCAGTTTTAATTTCATTCCTTCAAGCCACTTCTTCCCTCACGCAAAGTGTCACAGCTTGACAGGTGACAATCACAACAAACACCAAGTAAATCATAGAATCATGGAATGGTTTGGGTTGGAAATGACCTTGAAGATCATCTAGTTCCAACCTCCCTGCTGTAGGCAGGGACACCTTCCACTAGTCCAGAGTGCTCCAAGCCGCGTCCAACCTGGCCTTGAACACTGCCAGGGATGTAGCAGCCGCAGCTTCTTTGGGCCAACTGTGCCAGCGCCTCAGCACCCTCACAGGGAAGAATCTATTCCCGATATGTAATCTACATCTACCCCCTGCCAGTTTAAAGCCATTGCTCCTTGTCTTATTGTAGGCTTAAATTATAGGTTTAAACTAACATAGTAAAATACAGTAAACTCTTCTAACTTGTTAACACGGAGTAAAGAATGTCTGGCTGATGGGGGAAGAACATCACGGGACTGATAACAACTAAGGAGGCAGTAAATAAGATCAAGGATGCTAACCTTGAGGATAACAGAGACCGGAGCAGAACACTATAAACAACCCCTGCCTCCTTCCCCTCCTCCCGTGACTACCGGTTGTGCAGGACAGCGTGAACAGAACCCCTAAGTGCCGCGGACTACAACTCCCGGAACGCAATGCTGCCCGCTACCGCTGGCGACCTCCTCCCCGAGCGAAACGCATGCCGGAAGCTGTAGTCTTCACCCCCCCC